GAAAACAGATTTAGGGAAATAAATGACCAAATGAAATGTTCCAAATTCAGAATTATTGGGATCCCTAAGGGAGTGGAGAGAGAGAGAGAAGACTAGAAGATATAGTTGTACAAATATTGGGTAAAAATTTCCCTAATCTGGGGAATGGAACAAGTGTTCATATGCAAGAAGCACAGAGGACAGCCCCCCAAGATCAATGAGTCTAGAAAGACCTCAAGACACTTATTTGTGAAATTCATGTGTCATAAATTCAGAAAGGGTGTCTTAAGGGCAGCTAAGGCAGGGAGATTGGCATACAGAGTAAGGACCATCAGAAGAATAGCAGACTTTTACACAGAAACCTGGAAAGCCAGAAAAGTCTGGGAAGACATATTCAGGGCACTAAATGAGAAAAACATGAAGCCAAGAATACTTTATCCAACAAGGCTCACACTTATAATGGATGGAGAGATAAAGAGCTTAGAAGACCAGCAAGGTTTAAAAGAGCTCCCAAGACCAGCAAGGTTTAAAAGCCAAGCTGGGACTACCAGAAATATTAAGGGGTCTGACATTAGAAGAACAATCACTCTCAACATGAATACCCTAAATGCTCCCATTAAGGGACAGGGTTGCAGAATGGATAAAATGACAGGACCTGTCCATATGCTGTCTACAAGAGACTCATTTGGAATCTAAAGATACATCCAGACTGAAAGTGAAGGGATGGCAAACCATGGTTCATGCCAATGGACCTCAAAAGAAAACTCGTGAAGCATTCCTCATATCAGATAGAATAGATTTTAAGCTAAATACTATAATCAGAGATAAAGAAGGACACTACATCATCCTTAAAGGGTCTATCTTCCAAGAAGATCTAAAAATTGTAAATATTAATGCCCCCAACATGGGAGCAGCCAACTACATAAGCCAAGTATTAATCAAAGTAAAGAGTCATATTGGTATGAGTAGATTAACTGTAGGTGATCATAAATGGCACTCTCAGCAACAGACAGATCATCTAAGCAGAAAAACAGCAAAGAAATAAGGGATTTGAATGACACATGGCACCAGACGACCTCATATATATATATACAGAATATGTCACACTAAAACAAAAGAATACTCATTCTTCTCAAACACACTGGAACTTTCTCCAGAATAGACTACACATTGTGTCAAAAATCAGGGCTCAGCTCATACCAAAAGACTGAGATTATTCTCTGCATATTCTTAGATCACAATGCTTGAAACTGGAACTCAACCACAAGAAAAAGTTTGGAAGTAATTCAAACACTTGGAAGCTAAAGACCATCCTTCTCGAGACTGTCTGGGTCAACCAGGAAATCAAGGAACTTAAACAATTCACGAAAATCAATGAGGATGAACACATCAGGGGCGCCTGGGTGGCTCAGCTGGTTAAGCGACTGCCTTTGGCTCAGCTCGCGATCCTGGAGTCTGGGATCGAGTCCGACATTGGGTTCCCTGCTTGGCAGGGAGTCTGCTTCTCCTGCTGACCTCTATCCTCTCATGCTCTGGCTCTCTCATTCTCTCTCTCTCCCTCTCAAATAAATAAATAAAATCTTAAAAAAAAGAAAGAATGAACACATCAGTCCAAAACCTATGGGATAGGGGAAAAGTGGTTAAGGGGGAAATGCATAGCCATCCAAGCCTCTTAAAAAAAAAAAAAAAAAGACAAATCCCGAATACAGCAACTCTCTTTATACCTTAAAGAACTGGAAAATCAACAACAAATTCAGCCAACCCCACACACAAGAAGGGAAATAAACAAAATTAGAGCAGAGATCAATGAGATAGAAACTAGAGATACAGTAGAACACATGAACAAAACCAGAAGCTGGATTTTTGAAAGAATAAGATTGATAAACCATTGGCCAAACTAACCCAAATGAAAAGAAAGGAGACCCAAGTTAGTAAAATTAGGAATGAAAGGGTAGAGATCATGACTAACACCAAGGAAATAGAAACAGTCACCAGAAATTATTATCAACAGTTATATCCCAATAAGTTAAGCAACCTAGAAGAAATGGATACATTCCTGGAAACCTATAAACTTCCAAAATTGAATAAGGAAGAAATTGACAACCTGAATAGACCAATATCAAGTAATAAGATTGAAGCAGTGATCAAAAACCTCCCAAAAAACAAGAACCCATGACCAGAGAGATTCCCTGGGGAATTCTACCAAACATTCAAAGAAGAAATAATACCTATTCTCCTGAAGCTGCTTCAAAAAAAAAAAAAAAATAGAAACAGAAAGAAAACTTCCAGACTCTTTCTATGAAGCCAGCAAAACCTTGATACCAAAACAAGGCAAAGACACCACCAAAGGGAGAATTTCAGGCTAATATACCTGATTAATATGGATGAGAAGATTCTCAACAAGATCCTAGTTAATAGGATCCAACAGTACATTAAAAATATCCACCATGACTAGGTGGGATTTGTAGCTGGGATGCAAAGGTGGCTCAACATTCACAAATCAATCAATGTGATAGAGTGAATCAATAATATAAGAGAGAGGAACCACATGGTCTTCTCAATTGATGCAAGACAAAACAAAAACAAAACAAAAACAAACAAACAAACAAAATTTGACAGAATTCAGAATTTGTTCCTGATTAAAACATTTCAAAGTATAGGGATAGAAAGAACATTCTTCAAATTCATAAAATCCATCTATGAAAAACCCACCCAATATCATTCTCAATGGGGAACAGCTGACAGCCTTCCCTTTGAGATCAGGAGCACGGCAAGGATGTCCACCCTTGCCACTGTTGTTTAACATAGTACTAGAAGTCCTAGCAACAGGAATCAACAACAAAAAGAAATAAAAGTTATTCAAATTGGCAAAAAAGAAGTCAAACTTTCTCTCTTTGCAAGTGATATGATAATTTATATGGAAAACCCAAAAGACTCCACCATCAATCTACTAGAACTCATACAGCACTTCAGTAATGTTGCAGGATACAAAATCAATGTACAGAAATGAGCTGCTTTCTTATACACTAACAATGAAAATGTAGAAAGAGAAATTAGAGAATCAATTCCACTTACAATAGCTCCAAGAACCATAAGATACCTGGGAATAAACCTAATCAAAGAGGTAAATGATCTGTCCTTGAGGAATTACAGAAGATTAATGAAAGAAATAGAAGACACAAAGAGATGGGAGAGCATTCCATGCTCATGGATCAGAAAAATAAACATTGTTAAAATGTCTATACTGCCCAGAGAAATCTATAATTTCAATGCCTTCCCCATCAAAATTCCATTGACATTTTTCAAAGAGCTGGAACAAACAATCCTAAAATTTGTATGAACCAGAAGAAACCTTGAATCGCTAAGGAAAGGCTGAAAAAGAAAAACAAAACTGGGGGCATCACGCCGCCTTCTTTCAAGCTTTATTACAAAGATGTGATCACCAAGAGAGCATGGTACGGGCACAAAAGCAGACATATAGACCAGTGGAGCAGAGTAGAGAGTCCAGATATGGACTGTCAACTCTATGGTCAAATAATCTTCGACAAAGTAGGAAAAAATATCCAGTGGAAAAAAGACAGTCTCTTCAATAAATGGTGCTGGGGAAATTAGACAGCTATGTATAGATGAATGAAACTTGAACATTCTCTTACACCATACACAAAGGTAAACTCGAAATGGATAAAAGACCTCAACGTGAGGCAAGAATCTATCAAAATCCTAGAGGAGAACATAGAAAGTAACATTTTTTCATATTGGGCACAACAAGATCTTTAAAGACACGTTTCCAAAGGCAAAGGAAACAAAAGCGAAAATGAACTTCTGGGACTTCATCAAGATCAAAAGATTCTGCACAGTCAAGGAAACAATCAACAAAACAAAGCGGCAACCCACGAAATGGGAGAAGATATTTTCAAATGACATTACAAAGGGCTGATATCAAAGATCTATAAGGAACCCCTCAAACTAAACACACACAAAATGGATAATCGCGTCAAAAAATGGGCAGAAGGCATGAACAAACACTTTTCCAAAGAGACATGCAAATGGCTAACAGACACATTATAAAATGTTCATTATCATTAGCCATTAGGGAGAGTCAAACCAAAACCACATTGAGATACCACCTTACAGTGTTTAGAATAGCCAAAATCAACAAGACAGGAAACAACATGTGTTGGAGAGGATGTGCAGAAAGGTGACCCTCTTACAATGGTGGTGTCAATGCAAGTTGTTGCAGCCACATTGGAAAACAGTATGGACATTCCTTAAGAAATTAAAAATAGAGATACTATATGACCTGAGTATTTACCCTGAAGATATAGATGTTGTGAAAATAAGGGCCATCTGTATGCCAATGTTCATAGTAGCAATGACCACTGTCTCCATACTGTGGAAAGAGCCAAGATGCCCTCAGGTCCATGGATAAAGAAGATATGGTCCATATATACAATGGAGTATTATGCCTCCATCAAAAAGGATGAATATCCAACTTTTGTATCAACATGGATGGGAGTGGAAGAGATTATGCTGAGTGAAATAAGTCAAGCAGAGAGAGTCAGTTATCATATGGTTTCACTTGTGGAGCATAAACAGTAACAAGGAGGACATTGGGAGATGGAGAGGAGAAGTAAGTTGGGGGAAATCAGAGGAGGAGATAAACCATGAGAGACTGTGGACTCTGAGAAACAATCAGAGGGTTTTGGAGAGCCGGGGTTGGAGGTTGGGTGAGCTCAGTGGTGGGTATTAAGTAGGGCATATATTGAATGGAGCGCAGGGTGTGGTGCTTAAGAAATAAATTATGGATCAGTGGAAAAAATAAAATTAATTAAATGAAAAAAATTAATCTACTTCCAATAATGCTATTTTAGATATTTTTGAAACAAAAAGGAATCAAGGCATTTATCGATTTATGTAGTAAACATTTATTGAATATTACATTGAATGCTATATCATTCTAGGCAGTATTGTAGGACAGCTTTTTATGTTGTTCAATCTTAATAAATAAAAGGTTTCAAAAGTCATATTTTCTGTACAAATGTACACACCCACAACATTCTCCTTATGGCCCTGATCACCTCTTTATTCCTCAGACTATAAATAAATGGGTTCACAAGAGGTGTGATGATGGTATAAAACACTGCCACTGCCTTATCCTGTTCTGGAGAATGCAAAGAGTGTGGCCTTGTATAGGTGTAGAGAGTAGTCACATAAAATAGGCTTGCCACAATCAGGTGAGAGGAGCAAGTGGAGACAGCTTTTGTCTGTCCTATACCTGAGCTCATCTGGAACACCACAGTAAGGACACAGGCATAAGAAGATAGAATAGCCATAAATGGTAGCAGCAGAATAATAAGCCCACTCAGGAGGACTGTATGCTCATATTGGGAAGTGTCCTGGCACACCAATGGCAAAAGAGATGGAATTTCACAGAAAAAATGGTTAATGATCTGAGACCTACAGAATGGAAGTTGAAATACATACAATGTATGTAGTAAAGCATTGATAGAACCACTGGTCCATGTACATGTGACCATGAACCAACAGATCCTTTTGCTCATGAGTACAGGGTAATGTAAAGGGTGACAGATGGCTATGTATCGATCATAGGACATGAAACCAAGAAGAAGGGCTTCAGTTCCACCAAGAGCCAAGAACACAAATGTTTGAACCTCACAACCTAAAAATGTAATGGTCTTACTGTTTGACAGGAAGTTAGTGGTCATCTTGGGCACAGTGGTGGAGATATACATCATGTCAATAAAGGAGAGCTGACTGAGTAGGAAATACATTGGTGTGTGGAGTCTGGTGTCCAGTCGAATGAGAAAAATTAGTATGATATTCCCCATGAGAGCCACTGAAAAGAGGATTACAATGGCAACAAAGAGGAGAGTGTCCATTTGACCATATTGGAAAAGACCAAAAAGTATAAAATAGGTTTCAACACTTTGGTTTCCTATCTTCATGACTTATATCAAAATGTCAAAGCAGATAATATTGAAAATTCCATGTAAGAGCATTGACTGCCTTTTAATAGAAAATAAAATGATGATTACTAAATTCAATAAGGTTTTATTCAATAATGCTGTGTGGATAGATCTCTGTTGATGTAAATAATTAAATTTGTGTCTATTGATTGATAGACACTTGAAAAATGAAATAAAAATATTGTTAGTGAATGTATATTTAAGTTATAATTTGAAAAGAAAGATTAAGGTGATTTGCTCACATGAATTATTTTCCTCTTTTGTGAATGTCCTCAATAGAATAAGTTGAATTGGTGTTCTCTTTTAATAAAAATAATATTTTTCAGGGAACCTGGGTGGCTTAAGTCAGTTTAGCATCTGCCTTCAGCTCAGGTCATAATCCCAGGGTCCTGGGATTGAATCTCATATTGGGTTTTCTGCTAGGCAGGGAGGCTGATTCTCCTTCCTCTGGTGATGTCTCTGCTTGTACACTCTCTTTCCTTCTTTAAAAAAATAAATGAAGTATTTTTAAAATATTATTTTGCTTAATTCGCTCATAATTGATAAATTTGGCACAATAGATTTGGTTAAATATAATTGTTTAGATGATTCTTTATTGTACTTCACAATTTTTAATTTGCATTGCCTGTCATTTAGTATAAAAGATTTATTAACACTTGTATGGAAGCAATATATAGCCTTAATCAGTTATTAATTAATCATGTGAAGGTAGAAGGGATTTAATCAATTGATGAAAAGAGTATAACAGATGTTTGAAGGAGTTTGATACTGAATTACTCAAGTATAAAATAAAACTTCCAAATTTAAGTTTGACTCAAGTCACATGTTAAAAATGTTAATTCATGGGGTGCCTGGGTGGCTCACTCGGTTAAGCATCTGCCTTCAATTTAAGTCATTGTCCCAGAGTGCTGGGATTGAGCCCCAATTTGGGATTTCTTCTTAGTGAAGAGTTTGTTTATCCTTCTCCTTCAGACACTTCCCCTGCTTTTCCTCATTTGTTTTCTCTGTCAAATAAATAAATAAAGTCCTTGAAAAAATATTAACTCAAAGCTAACGATTCATTTTTCTTTTTCTTTGTTTTTTTTTTTTCCTGACACAAACCTGGCCTATAAGAGCCATATTTCTAGGACAATGATATCATGTATACTAAAAGTCCTTTATTCTAAAAATGTTTAATAAAATTACATAAAACAGGGGACAGTTGGCTGGTACAGTCAGTTAAGTGTCTTACTCTTGGTTTCAGCTCAGGTCATGATCTCAAGGTGGCGAGATAGAGTCCCTCATGGGGCTCCATGCTCAAAATGAAATCTGCTTCATGTTCTCTCTCTACCTGTCCTGGACATGCTCTATCTCTCTCTCTAATAAATAATTATTTATCAGTTAAATTAAATTAAACTATATTAAATGCTGCCAGCATTTATTATCTACTATGGTCACAGCACAGTGATAGTTTCTGAAAAGCTTAAAATGAAACAGAGTGATTCCTCCACAAGAAGTGTGCAGTTGTTCTCCATCTTGCCCATTTGTAGTGTCAAGCCTTCCACTTTGCGGGTGCGAAGACAATAAAACATAGTAGGAAGACTAACACAGACATATGTGTTATACAAACCAATTATTTTTTAAAAGATTTTATTTATTTATTTGACAAACAGAGATCACAAGTAGGCATAGAGTCAGGAAGAGAGAGGGGAAGAAGCAGGCTCCCTGCTGAGCAGAGAGCCCGATGCGGGGCTCCATCCCAGGACCCTGGGATCATGACCAGAGCCGAAGACAGAGGCTTTAACCCACTGAACCACCCAGGTGCCCCTCAAAACCAATTCCTAAGAAAACTATTTAAAAATAAATATATCACTATAGATGATTCAATAAAAAGCTGTCATATTGAGACTATTACTGAGCTTTGAAAAAAATTAAGTGAATAAGTGAGAATCCATAAGACATTATGAAATGAGCTTGGAAGAGCTTTTGAAAAGGCCAATATAAATACAAGAATTCAAGTAATCCAATTTCTTCCTAAAATTTCTAGGAAATATTCCATAACATAAAAACAGAATCACAAATGATATGTCTGCATAACACAAAAAGAAATGCACATATAAAAATAATTAAAAACCCACACTTATTTAAAAGTAGCTTCAATATAGACCTACATATTAAAATATAAGGTAATCTTCCAGGATCAATTTCATAATCCAAACTAGAGAGAAATATATGTATTGGAGGCAGCATCACTCACATTGTAAATTTGAAAACACACACTTAATTTGGCAGTTGGGCAGAAGGATAAAAAATTCAAATGGAAAGCTTCTTACCCATAAAATGGCTGAGAAAATAAAATTAAAGATCAAAGTCAATGGTATTCACCTTTCTCAGAATTGGAACTTTTTAAATTTTAACCTGCGTTATTTTATATTGAGAGAATTGCTCATGCCACACAGGTGCCATGGATTAGTATTTTTATACTTGGGAAATTTTTCAGTAAATAATTTGAACTATGAAATACACCTTTGGTACAAATATGTTAATAATAACATCTTTTATTGGGCTAACTTGGAATTATGAGCACAGCATAAACAGTGAAAAAATAAATATCTTGATGATATAAGGTACAGTTATGGAAAAACAGATTATGAAAACTAGGCCATTACAGATTTTATGCACACATACAACATACACACAAATCCACATACACAATCATACTAAGTAATGATCATATCTAGCCCAGTAAAAAACGTTATATGCTTAGAAAAATTACAAAAATGACAATCTAAAATGCAAACATCAGCAGTTGCATATCGTGTGTTGTGTATCTTACTTGACTTTCAACATAGTTTTATTAACCGTCAGATTGAACATATGCCCCATACCATTACCTTCAGCCAAGTAAAACATATAAACTATATCCTACTTTTATTCTCTACAAACTTTATTGATAAAAATTCTCTTAATATTGTTCTTTTATTATTTCAGAGAGTAGTGTATGGATGTTCTGGGTATAATCTGAACCTTTAAACACAATACAGCTTTCAGAATGTGGTTATGTAGCCACTTTCCTTCCTCTATGGCTGAACTATCTTTTATCATCAAACATATCAAACACACATGATTCCTCATAAATTCCTGGGAGTATTGAGTATAATTTAAATTTCTGTTGGATGTATGTGTGTCTATATATATTCAATAATGACATTATTTTTAATAAGGATATAATTTTTCTTCAATGAAGCATATTTTTTTTCAATAAGGACATAATTCTCAGGCCTTTCATTAAGCTTTTGCAAAGCTATCTAACCGGGTTTTCTCCAGGTTCTCATTCCAAAGGACAATAGTGTGCTAAGTATCAACATGAAACACTGTAAAGAAATCTCCATAAAGTTGAAGAACTCATATTAGGTCATACAACCTATAATATATGATAAAAAATTTAAAAGTCACTTCATAGATGAGGGAAAAGTGTAAAAATGAGTGCTAAGTTGAGAAACACCTAAAAGTTACCTTGAATATCCTTTATTCAAAAAAAAAAAAAAGAAATTTCCACCTTCCACCCTATTCTTCCTCCAACTATTTTCACTTCTCTGATTTAGATGAAATTCTAAAGGAAAGGTTCATTTGACATTAAAATAAAATACATTTATTGGGGACTAATAGCTTATATGATCCTATATTCATCAATATATTTAAAATAAATTCTAATCCAAGGAATTGAATTAAATGTAGTTCCAGTCATTAATGATAATGACCTTCATTGTGAGTTAAACGAATTAAAACCACATCCACTTAAAGCGTGTTATAGAATATTTATCAGAGAAAGAGGAAGTAATAATATTTTTTATTTATTATGGTAGATTTGAGAACTAGTTTAATATTCTTAGATCCATAAACTGAAAGTCACAAATTTCTACTTAAACAACTTTATCAAATAAACAAGTACATTTGTAATTATATCTATCATATATAGCTTCTTCTATTTCTCTTTATCATCCACAAATATTTTTTTCATGATTGTCTTCCAATTTACTTTTGAATTTTGAGTTCTGGTTTTATTTTTAAAATTGTAGATTTTATTTAAAGACATTTCAAAAGATGAAAATTAGAAAAATGTGTAGAACAGAAAGCAATGGATGCAAAAAAATACATCCTTAATATTATCAGGCAAAAATGAAATAAATTTTGAAAAATTAATAGTTAATAATTAACATGGTTATGGAGTTGTACAACTTACACATTATTTTATTTAATAGTACTGCATAAATTTCTCTCCATGTATTTGTATTTTTAAAATAGTTTACCTATTTTACAAAGTTTCTTCATTCTAAAAACATTATTGAATATGACCATTGCTAAACATAATGCAAAATTTTAATGAAAAAAATTAGGAGTAAATTTATAGAGCATGGAGCCAGACACAGAACTCAATCTCAGAAACTTGAGATAATGACCTGAGCTGAAACTGAAAGTCAGACACTTTCTGAGCCAACCAGGTGCCCCACTTTGAGAATATTTTTATAAAATTGTATTACTGGAGGATCACATACATGGAAGAGTTATATAGAAACAACCACATAATCTTAGTAATTGAGCTATGTAATGTGGTATTGCTGCAAATAAACAGAGAAATAAACTTAAAGAGAAAAAAATTATTATTTAAATTTATACATATTTTAGGAAATTTTTATTACACCATGTATTTGAAAGATTATTGTTATTTATTACCTGAGACAATAAGCCTTCAATCATTAGCATGAACAATTCAGTAGAAAGAATTTAAACATAAAAGTCACTCTCTCAACCATAGTATACAATTTTAACATTTAAATTAAATGAGTGAACTGCCCATTCATGGCAGAAACTCATATGTTCTTTGCATAAATCCTTTAGGGAAAACTTGGTCTCTAGTCCATAATTAAATGCACTGTCTTCATTGCTGATGATTTTTTTATGGGAGTTTCTGTCATAGGAGCAACAAAAAAAAATGAGAT